TCCTAAAGAAGAAATTTCATCTCAATAAGTAAACGTTAATATATAGTCCCAAAGAAGACATTTTACCTGAATAACATCAAAGTAGAGTCCTTGAAGAAGACACTTCACCTCAATAATGAGGTTAATTGGTTGATTAAGTAGTCCTATTAACCCATTGCTTCATGAGCATTTTGTGAAAAATGGCTGTTTTCATTGAAAAGTCTCCCGTTACAAGTTCAAATTGCTATAATACTATAAAAACTGCTTCAACACTAATCAAACTTGGCACAAATGTTGACTGGACCATTGCCCTTGCAACAACATGCTCAGGCTTAAATTTTCTGTTACCATGGCAACGAGGGGACATCTCAAAATTGCCAAAAATCACTATTTTGCATTGATTTTTTCCATCAAAATTGATTTCAAAGTGCTGCAACTTCTCAATGGATTGAGATGGAGTCAAATGCTTTTCAGCGTTGGTTACACGTTACCTTATGATCAATCTGGGATCATTTGCAGCCTCTCATTAGTCCAAAATTTTCTTGGCGATGAGGGGGACTCCGCCCCCTTCAACCCCCCCCCCAAACAGAAGGGGGCACACCACCCTTCTGGCAACCCCCTGATGTATCTTTTGGTTGGGGGGCCGCGCCGAAAAAGAGGTCACTTTTTTTAACAACATTTCTCAAACAAAAACAAGTGTTTGGGGCCTAAATAAGGCATTTTTTCATCATTTGAGACAACAAAAAGGGGGGGTGAAAAAGGCGTTAAAAGGCGTGTATATGAAGTAATGGGTTAACAGAAAATGATGAAAATACTTGAAATTACCCTTAATCGCGTTTTTTCAGGTTTAAACATGGTCTGTCATATAAATTTGAAGAAAAATTGTTGTTTTGTAGATTTTTTTATTTTATTCATTAACCCATTGCTTCATGAGCATTTTGTGAAAAATGGCTGTTTTCATTGAAAAGTCTCCCGTTACATGTTCAAATTGCTATAATACTATAAAAACTGCTTCAACACTAATCAAACTTGGCACAAATGTTGACTGGACCACTGCCCTTGCAACAACATGCTCAGGCTTAAATTTTCTGTTACCATGGCAACGAGGGGACATCTCAAAATTGCCAAAAATCACTATTTTGCGTTGATTTTTTCCATCAAAATTGATTTCAAAGTGCTGCAACTTCTCAATGGATTGAGATAGAGTCAAATGCTTTTCAGCGTTGGTTACACGTTACCTTATGATCAATCTGGGGTCATTTACAGCCTCTCACAAGTCCAAAATTTTCTTGGCGATGAGGGGGACTCCGCCCCCCTTCAACCCCCCCCAAACAGAAGGGGGCACATCCCCCTTCTGGCAACCCCCTGATGTATCTTTTGGTTGGGGGCCGCGCCGAAAAAGAGGTCACTTTTTTTAACAACATTTCTCAAACAAAAACAAGTGTTTGGGGCCTAAATAAGGCATTTTTTCATCATTTGAGACAACAAAAAAGGGGGGGGGGGTGAAAAAGGCGTTAAAAGGCGTGTATATGAAGTAATGGGTTAAAAACACACGTTAGGCAAGTAAGGTGAATGTTGAGTCCTAAAGAGGGTATGTACGTAACTTACAACGTAAGTCATGTGACTAGAATGTAGTGAGATCCGTGACCCCTCCCCCACCCCAATTTATTTCTGCTATAAAAAGTTTCTGTGCTCCTGCAGACGAGTTCTATTTCGCAGTTTTCATTTTGTCTGTATGATAACTGTAGCGCACACCTTGTCACATTTAGTTCAAGTTATAATTAAAGTCACATCTCAATAACAAGTCGAGTAACTAGATAGAAACATCACACCACACTTCACAGTGATCGGCCTTATCAGAAAATAAATAAATATTTGAATTTAGCTCAAATTCTGGTCGTTGTTTAGTTTAAAAATTCTTTTTGTGTTACCATTTAATTAATTGAATTAAAATGTCACACGTCTTCTTAATAATCAAACCATACTTTTTCCGAAAACATTTTCTTCTATAATGAAATTACAATGTACTGTTGAATATTGCGTGCAGTTTCATTAAACAATTCAATTTTGAGACTTTCATGGAGCGAAATCATAGTTCACTAGCACGTTTCCGCGAGATACCAAGGTAAATGGCGCCTTTTTTACATGCAGCAGGTTGCCGTCATTCGGCTACCACTGATAGACAACACATTATATATATGGCGAGTTTATTGTCATCCTATATAAATTGGTCCTGTCAAACTTAATACAAGAGTACAGATTATGTTGACTGCCCTCTGGTATACGACCTATGTAAGGTATCATAGCGAGTACAAAAATGTCATATTCCCGGCAACAGATGTAGGTTATTTCACATTTATGTTTTACTTTCCTGATACAGAGACAATTGTTAAATAAAATATAACTTTTCTGAACTGCCGTTGCACAATCTATATGGTCCAGTGTCAGTCCTGAAGGTTATTCTGCCTTTACCGGTATGATTATTTCAAAATCTATCCACAAATAACAAAGTGATGGACTGGATAAAGAGTTGCATACAATGCCTTAACAAATTTCATATAATGTAAAGTGAATTGGAATAACACTCAAATTACTCCTTTGAAATAACAACAAAACATATAAATAGAATAAATTTATTGTCCTGAGTGTCGCAAACAAGAAGTAAGTAAACTCAATTATATCTAGTAATTAAATATCATCAAATGACTGCAAAGATATTCAAATATCCGCATGTACTACACAAATTACATCAACTCGAACTATAGAAAAGTCATACAAAAAATACAGGTATGAACTAAAATATCAATTCACACAAAGAGCGGTGGGAGGGCGGGAAATTTGAAACTTCAAAGCGACACGAAAAATACTAATAGCAATGATAAATGGTAAGTAATCAGTATAAGTACTAGAAGCGTAGGAATACAAACTCCTATGACCAATGAAAAGTTGTTATGAAGTTGTGATCAATGCTTGGTAACCGTAGTTAAAAATAGAACTACGAAAATTCTTCGGCTGAATCCGACAAAAGTCCGAAGTCATCCGAATAATATAATAACAAGTTTCAGTGTCCTAATTAGTTATTTTAAGAACTTAAAATAATTCAATATTTAAACAAAAGGACCATGATGGCCCTGTATATAGCCCCCCCCCCCCCCTCCCCCCGCGAGTGGAGACAATTTTAACCAAAGTACTTTTATTTGAACTTGAACAAACTTGGTAGACACCCATTAGAAGATGTTTCATGATAAATATCTAAGATCTAGCTCTTTGTGGTTTTTAAAGATCCTGTAACACATTTTTTCATGGTTTTATTTAATAAATATGATGCTCAAAGTTAGATTTGTCAGTATTGTAAGTTCCAATAAGCTTTATTTATAAAGATATTAACGAATTCAACATTTCATGTAAATAAAGGGAGGTAATTAAAAACTTATTTTCTATAAATTCTAAGTCAAATTTTCCAATAAGAAAAAAATGCATATAATTTATTGATTAAATATAATGTGCACAAATATTTGCAGTACACATTTTATATATTCTTCGATGTTTGAAAATTGTTTTATTTGCATAATTATATACATATATAAGTTTTTGCAAGTGTGGTATACACACAGTAACAATATCAATCACAAAACATACAGGATCTTTAAATGAAGATTTTTTAAGATATTACTATATACGTACATATAGGTAAAAACAATAACCCCTCCCCCCCCCCCACCAGGCGGGGCCAATTTTGACACCGGGGCTTTTATTTGAACAAACTTGGAGGACACTCACTAGAAGATATTTCATGCTTAGTATGTAAACTCTAGCTCTTAGGGTTTTTTAAAGATCCTGTAACACATTTTTTCATGGTTTTATTTAATAAATATGATGCTCAAAGTTAGATTTGTCAGTATTGTAAGTTCCAATAAGCTTTATTTATAAAGATATTAACGAATTCAACATTTCATGTAAATAAAGGGAGGTAATTAAAAACTTATTTTCTATAAATTCTAAGTCAAATTTTCCAATAAGAAAAAAATGCATATAATTTATTGATTAAATATAATGTGCACAAATATTTGCAGTACACATTTTATATATTCTTCGATGTTTGAAAATTGTTTTATTTGCATAATTATATACATATATAAGTTTTTGCAAGTGTGGTATACACACAGTAACAATATCAATCACAAAACATACAGGATCTTTAAGAGTTTTTAAGTTAATACTATACACATATAAGGAAAATCAAAGACCCTTGGGGCGAGGCCAATTTTAACCCCAGGGTCCTTATTTGAACAAACTTGGTAGACACCCATTAGAAGATTTTCCATGCTAAATATCTTAGCTCTAACTCTTTGGGATTTTTAAAAGAAGATTTTTTTAAATCTTTACTATATACATAAAGGGAAAAACGATGAATCCAGGGTTTTTATTTAACAAATTTTATAGACATCTACTAGAAGATGTTTCATGCTTAATATTTAAGCTCTAGCTATTTGGGTTTTTTAAAAGAAGATTTTTTAAGATTATACTTATTTTACACATATAGGGAAAAGCAATGACCCCCTCCCCCCCCCCCAGTGGGCCAATTTGACCCCAGGGATTTTATTTCAACAAACTTGGTAGACACTGACTTCACAATGTTTTATGCCAAATAGAAATACATAGCTCTTACGGTTTTTTAAAAGAAGATTTTTTTCAAGTTTTTTTCTTTCAGTTGCCATGGCAACCAGAGTTCTGCATGGAATTTGATTCTTTGAACAATTTTTAAAGTTGACTACCAAAGGAACATTCCTGTGAAGTTTGGATGAAACTGCTCAGTGGTTAATGAAGTGATTAAAGTAAAAGTAAGTCGTTTAGAGTAAAAGTTTATGGACAGACGCCTGACAAAGGCGATCACAAAAGCTCACCATGTCACTTTGTGACAGGTGAGCTAAAAGTTAGCAAAAAAGGTTATTCAATATTCTAACAGAACACAGGAAGGATTGAAGGAATGAATACAAGATAATAAATAAATAATAAGCTAGTATTTTATATACATCTATTTATTGAAAACAAATTTAACAAATATTTTCACTATACAATAAAGTCAAGACTTAAACTGGTGTTACCTGCTCAAATGTAATGTACATTAATTCCTTCTCTATAAAGTTGTACGTATCTTACAATCTTTATACAATACTGTCAACAAAAGAAAGGTTGAAAATAAACATACAAAATTAGTTCACTTCATCTGCACTGTATTTTAATAAATTATGTGAAACATTCAGATCAGAAATATATCCGTACACAAAACTATTCATGTAAACGAAATAAATATAATCCACTTGTTAGGTCAAATCAAATAGTTAAGTAACACATGCTGTTTTTCTACAAATAGTTTTTTAATCACCAGGGCTGCGTTATCACATTTATTTCCTCTTGCCACCACCACCAGCCAATATCATGGCAATTCTTATGAAAATGTTCAAGGTGTCTGCATATATTCCAAGAGATCTGCAAAATAAAGTAAAACTCCCTATATTATACATGAAGATTTAGAAGAAAAAAATTTGTATAACATATCCATTTAATGAACAACACACATGTACATATACAAAGTCACATGACAAGTAAGTGATTTTGCAGCTCCGTATTAAAAGTGACAGAGTATAGTTGTGGTATCGAACAGTCAACTTCATTAAAGTACTGCTTCACTTGATAAACAGGTCTTCAGGCTCAATGACACTATACCCACCTCTGGTCACAAGTCCAACTAGACTTAGACAGGTATACGTACACTTATGCTGAAATAACCCCTATAAGCTGAGCACAAAACTGTTACTACTACTTTAACTCTAATCCTGACTTCACAGGCATGTTTCATACAACAGATGCATTCAACAAGGAAATTATGACAGTTTTTATGCGTCAAGAAATGCTTTAAACTAATTTAAATTTTTAATACCATAGAAATTTACCAAGCCATTGTGATATTTTTAATGATTTTGTAAAAATGTTTTAAACTGATTTAAATTTTAGCAACAAAGAAATTTCTTATGAATATCTTTATAAGTATATTCAATATTAACTATTTACAAAACTTAAGATATTTGCAGGCCAAGAAAATAAAACAATATAAAAACCCTTTATAGTAACAATAGATGTCAGAAATACAGACACACAATGGTAAATATTTTTCAGTGACTCCTTTATGTTATCACAATATGTAATCACTAATGGATACATAGCTAATAACCAGATGTAAGAATCAGATAGCCTCTGATCACCAATATAAAATTGCAATACTTACGCATTTACAGGGTCATATGGCTGCATGGCATAGGGCGGATGTGTTTCAGCTCTCTTCATTATTTTCTGTGTGTCATAAAGGAGGAACATTCCAAAGAGCACAAGACCACCATAAATTGAGATAGAATACAGGCCTGCACCGAGGGCTGTTGTAGGTGGCAAGAACATTCCAGCTGACAATATATATATATATATATCTTAGTTACAGTGGCATATTTTGTATATACAATGTAAATGTATTATTTCTATACAGTATTATCACTTCGATCAGAGATTTTTTAAGCATTTTAATGAAATCAAAATAAATGATGCTTCAAGTGAATTGATCAATTATTGAAAGTGTGTAATACCATTATAGATGGATGTTAATGTTGCTAAATATGAGATACATGATCCAATATCTTAAATCATAAATTGCTTTTGATAAAAATATTATTTTCATTGTATATATGTCCATACTGGATCATTATGAACATTATCAACATTTATTTTAAAGAAAAATTGTATAAGAATATCCAAATGATAATTTCTATTGGTTGTATCAATATTTGAAATACTTATGGACAAAGTACTCATTGTTGATCAATTTGCTTTAAGTCTTTCACGGTAAAAACAAGAAAAACTATGGTTTCATGTCAATATTTTTTTAGGTTAGGAATATATGTTTTTCATGTATGGACATTTATTTTGTCCATACTATTACTTTATATTGAGGTACATTTTAATGAACCAACTTTTACATGATTGTAAGGGCACTGTAGGATTTTCCAGCATTAAAGTGTTACATTGGGCCAATAATGTCAAACTCACCAATGGAAGAAGCAAAAACAAGTCCAAACCCACAGGCTAGAGGACCTCCAATGTTCAAGAATTTCTCACTTGGTGCACACATAGCTACAGTTGATAAACCTAGGGGGGAAAAGTTTAAAAAATCAACACACAGTCAATAATAATAATTTTTGTAAATATTTAAGTAAGACCTGTACTGACACCGGTAATCAAAGTTTCATCATAACTTATAAAAAGTCTTGTTATTTTTTCAAAGAAGTATACATCAAAAAGTGCTTACAACTAATAACATCTTTGCATGATTAAACATTGCTATTTTTAATAAACATAAAATCTCCACATTTTATATACCATAAAAAGCATTTGAGAATACAAGTCTACAGCTGTGACTTTTTTCTAGTAACTTAAAATTCTTAGTTTCATTCTTAAGATTTACACCAATATTCCTCAGTTTAATTTCCCCATGGATTAAGGGATGGGCAAGTAAAAACATGCCATTTAGGTATACAACAGTAATTCATATGTTTCAAAAATTGCAAAACTATAATTGACCCAGTATTGATGTTTGTTCCTCTTTCTTTTATTGTGTATGTTTTTGTAACTATAATAGATTTGAAATCCAAACTTCAAATCTTTCTTTAATTTTAAGAAATGCATAAATATGGTGCATATTTGTTCTAAGTTTTGCATCTAATGTACGGTATCATTTAATATATTTGAGCCGCATCACGGCAAAACCAACATAATTGGTTTGCAACCAGCATGGATCTAGACCAGTCTGCGCATGCTTGTCGCAAACGCATTATGTTGGTTTTGGTGTGACCTGGCTCAATTATAAACTCATATTCGTGTACCTCCCACCACTCCTGCAGTAAGCCAAGCAGCTCGTAGAAGTAACGGACCACCAAGGTATGTCAGTGGGGCTACAACTGCTCCAAGAACCCCAGCATGTACCATCCAAGCTAGCTGCTTAGCACCAAATCCAGGCTTGTATGGGATTGAATGACACAATATATTTGTACCAATGATTGCAGCTATGGTTCCTCCCATTGCCTGAAAAACAAGGAACAAGTTGTTTTAACTGTCCATTTATACATGTAAATATACACACATATGTACACAAAAGCTGTCTTTTCTGAAGATAAAAATGAATTGGTAATTTTATGCACTTAAATCACTGTCAGATACAAATAACAGGGAGCTTGAAGTGACATGCCCATTATAAAGTGTAACTGGTAGGTGTGCAGGTATAAGTCAAACAACTTAAATCAGATTTCGCCATAACTGTTTTCAATTTTATATTCTGCATTACTAATGATCCATCACTCCATAAATACTGAACATACTTTATTGGGAACGTTCTCTTGATAAAAGAGAAGGGCAGTCTTGATATATCTAAGGCAGATTTTATACTAATCTTTCAAATGATCTAATATCAAAACAGAACAAACCAGCAAGGAGTTTCTTGTCATCATACTCATTATTCTTGGGTTCCTACTAACAGCCACTGCGGAGGCTGCAGTAAGGGCAATACCTCCTCCGAAATACATGTATGTAGCTCTTACTCTTGCACGTACATATTCAGGCCACAATCTGAAGGAATAGTAAAAATAATAAGTTTTCTCTCCAGAATATGTTGGCCCATGTCCAGCTTTAGACTATTAAACTGATCTTTACAAAGCAAATAAGGTATATCAGGGATCAAACAAAAACATTTCAAATTTTTACTTGTCCTGCATGCTATGCTACTCATCCTGTATATTGAGCATGGTTTTCAGGATAAACTTTGACCATGCAATAGAACCTGACCAATGCACTAGACCATGAGAAAGCTTTGTTTCCGGTTTTCCATAATAAAGAGTAAACAAACTTATAATGAGAATTGAAGCTTTTTATCTATAACATTGTCAAATTTTTAACAATTTTGAACTTGTTTTGCACTGATCTCTTCTTGTAAATACGAGCAGAAAAGTGGAATTTTTGATCTTACACTGAAATTCCAGGGTCAATATTAACCCATCATAGTAAATTGTCAAACTTAGAATGTCATGGTCACTGAGTCAATTTTATCATGTTCTAACAATCAAACAAATATACATTATCTTCTCTGTCAATTACATTATAATTTATGATAGGACTTTATTATATTCATTATATACAAAGCTGCGCATATATACTAGTATTACAATGGAATATTAATTAAGCAGTTCATGACTTAAATGCTTCAAAAACTAAATTTCAATTTTGATAAGAATCCTTTGCAATAAAAATTATTGGGACAATTATATGCAATACTTTTGTATAAATAGATCTATATGATTTGTTTTCTCATTGGTGAAAAAAAAAGTTGCTTTCAAATAATTGATGACTTTGATTGTCTAATGTTTGGTTAAATGTTAACAAATTTCACTTTAAAAATAAAAGAACAGTATCTTAGCAGTAATGAAAAGGAATCTGTACAACTACACCTTAATATTACATGCTTACACAGAATTTTCTAGGACGCCTGTTTCATTGGATAAGGGCCCC